TATCTAGGTCAAAGTTACTTTATTTTGCGATACGTAATAGGTGTACAAATAGCTATAAGAAATTTAAATATTTGTTAATAATATGGCGAATTTTATTGTTTTATCATTTATATACAATTTTGATATATTAAAATAATAAAATTTAATATAAAAAGTTACATTGATTTATACAAGGTATCCGTTTTTTCACGGCTGAACAATGATTATTTTGTCTCTCAGATTATTATTCTACTCCGTAAAATAAAAGAAAGATTTATAAATTGTTAATCAGTTTTATTTGAGGAAAAGATTTCACATAAAGAAGTTTCACCTTTCTGATAAAGGAAAGAAAGAGACCTCATATTTTCTGAGAGTTTATGAAATTGAGATGAATTCGATTCTGCAGAGGTATTAAAATTTAAAAATTCATGTTTCAGAAAAATAATTTGATCACCATATCGTGAAATTCAGTTTTAAAAATTTTAGGAGATTCCTGATATGTGGAAAACAGAATTTTCTTTGAGTTTGAATGTATAGCCTGAAAATGTTATATTTTAAAAGGATAGTAACTTCCAATGAAGAAGGATCTAAAATGTCACAAGGTTTATTATCAGAGTTCAGAATTTAGTTTAAAAATCAATATCTTTAAATTTTTCGTGCAGTGAAATCTCACTTTAAAAAGGTGAAAACACAATCACCCCTGAAAAAAGTGAAAATATTTCACTTCTTGAAAAAGAGAGTTGAAGACAATTCTCATTCTTTTTAGAGTGAATTTTCATTTTAAAGGAGTGAAATCTCACTTTTTGAAAGTGAAAATTTTCACTCTTTTTTGAGAAGTGAAATATTTTCACTTTTTTTCAGGAATGGTTGTATTTTCACTCTCTTGGAATGAGAGTTCAAGAAATTTAGAGTGTACTAATCGTTTATATAGCACTGATAAAGCAATAATAAAGCAAAATTGAAAACTTGATATTTGATATATAAATATGATATAAAATAATGTAATAAAAAATACTTTGCGATAAAAAATTCTTGATTACGTTTTTGCTTTCTCAAAATCTGTGAATGTTAAATTTGTTTTAGTCTTATGTTCTTTTTCAGCAGCTAAAAATACATGAAAATCATTATTTAGATGTTAGGAAATAGAAACTTTGTAAATTAGTGTAAAAAACGCTATATAGTCCGTTGTCGGTTTTATTTTATTTCCCAACTTTCTTCTTTGCCGAGGCATTCGTCACAAGAAAGAACGATTCGTTTGTGTTCCGATTTGTAAATCGGAGAGATTGGAGTCGAATGCGGCGATGCGATGGTAGTTCTGGATAATAATAGCATGGCAGGGTTTGACAGACTTAACGGTATGCGGGTGCGGAAAGCAATGCGGGCAATCGATGCACGCACCCGCGACCGAACGCAGTTATTGAAGTATGCATCTGATCCCGACGCATTTAATCGCCAATTATTCAACGACTGTTGAAAACGCTTAAATATTTCTTACAATGGACCCGTTCTTTTAGTTGCTGAACTTTCTGGACTTTGTTCCTCTTTTTCTTTCGGTCACACAGTGTCCGATATGCAGGATATCGCAATTGTATTTTCCTTTTAAATAAATGTCTCTCCTTTGGGAAACGTTTCTATTCCTGTCATAATCTATTAAATTTTTAGATTGAACAGACTTTAAATAGGCTTTCTGTGTTAAAGTAAAAATCTTCAATTTTCTAAAAAGAGAAAGTAGTGCTTTATCATTTTAATAGTAAGGATATATAATTGGGAGAGTGGTTTTATTTTTTAACGTCTACTATGTAAAATGTTTATTATTGAATTATAACTTTTTGACATCTCTAGCGTGGCTGTATGCTCCTTTTTACTTAACCTTCTTAACATTGAGCCACTTTCTAATATTGAAAAAAAAAAAAAAAAAAAAAAAAAAGGTTTTATTTTTATTCATTTGTAATTTCAGAATTAAATGCTTCGAGACAAATTTTCACAAAGGCAAAAACGATTGAGTTTTTATAGTACCTATATGTATATAATATAAGACTATATATAGTACTATGTACGCTATGTTTTGCATTGCTTTGTTGAAAATTTATACAGATCTATATTTGCGTGGCTCTTGGCATAAACGTGCCAAAATGTACGTACGTAGGTTTAAACTTATCTGTTGTATAATGCGCTTCTGTTTACTGTAAACAAAGGATGAAAACTATCCTATCTAGCGCAATAAATGTGCGATTGGTGAAAGATAGAACGGGGCTACGGAAGAGTCAGTTGGTTCACAGGTGCGAATCGTCATCGGGTTTCTGTGTCTCTCGGTCTGCCGTTAATTATGTCAATTCGCAACGCGTATCGCGACACGCAGTTTGCGCGGAGGACACGCGGGTCCCGTGTCGTCTAGCGACACCGGATATTCAATTAGCGGAAAGAGGTCTTACCTCCTTCGCCCGCCATCGCCCCCATTGGGAAAGCAAGTCGCGCGGCACGGCAGAAATTGTCCGGACTCGTTTAGGCGTTTGAATAATAAAATTACGGCACGCATTGTTGCGTGCACAATAGGATATGATATTCATTCAGCCGCCCTTACAGAAATCCAATTTAATACTGGAAATAATACTCATTTTGAGTATTATAGTACAAATAGCAGAAAGATATCATTTTACTACTAATTATAAGAAATATAATTACTCAGTTTATTTTTTTTCTTTTGAGTAACGGAAGGGGGGGGGGAGTTATCTTTAACAGTAAATATTATCTTGATAATATAGTCTCAAGATATATTTATTACAAATTTTACAAAAAAATTCATTGTCATAGATGCTCAAAACAAGAATTTAGTTTCTTTTAAAGAATATTATAAAATTTTATCGAAGGAATCATTTTTTGTAATATAAATCAAATTTAATAATTTTGATTGAAGTATATACATATATTAAACTTACTAAGATTCAGAATGTATTTTGAATAAATTTGATGTTTGTAATGAACTTATGACGGATTTGCAAAAAATGAATTATTTGAAACAAATAATTAATATTTCAAATACAGTATGTATTTTTCTGTGTGTACTTAATTTAAATACTTGATAACTCGTTTCGGATCGTATGTAGAATAATTTACATTAATATATTACATAAATACATATACACACAGAAAAATGTCATTCTATTGTATTATTAAGAAAAGTTACTCACAGTTTGTTTTTTTTTCTTTTAAGTAACTGTTATCTTTAACAAAGAATATTTTCTTAATAACAGTTTTAAAGTATACTTATAACAAGAAAATATTATAAAATTTTGTCAAAGAAGTCACTTCATGTAATAAGTAATTCGAATTTATTTAATAATCTTGGTGTATTAAATAATGTTGAAGTATTAAATTTACTAGGATTAAAAATATATTTAGAATAAATTGATACAGTTATGATGGACTTCTGGTAGATTTTCGGATATATGAATTTTTGTAAATACTTGAAACAAGTAATTAAAATATTTGAATAGAGTACACATTTTTACGTGTGTAAAACCAGTGAATAACGATACTTTTAATGTTCAAAATAAGTAATTAATCAGTATCAGTGTTAAATTTCTGTAAGAGCGGCAATTCATTTGCTACCGTTTCACGTACACTATCGATTTTATAATTATCTCGCGACACCTCGTCGCGTCGCGGCATTTCATCTGGCATATATCCATATCTCGGCGATCATATTGTATATATATTTTATTAATTGCCTTCAGCGAATAATCTACGGAAATATCTCGCGTGCCGTAGCTCTTAACGTAAATTGACATAGGGCTGGTTTCGCCAATATAGACATAGTGTGCAAAAGAAAACAGAAAAAGAATGAATCATAAAGGATACCATTTATTATTTTTAACTCGTCGCTATTTGTAGTGCGCACGCGGAATGATGTGCGAATCTAGGGTTGATTTTTCAAAATAAAGAATTTTATTGGATTTTACTTGTTACAATCACTTGTATCGTTTACTTAGCATCGTTGAGTCTACACCAAGTAGTAGAAAACTGTGTGTATCACCAATTACATGCTTCTCTTTGCAATAGGATTCTATATGTTCTTCTTCTCTTCTTTTTCAGGTACAATATAAGGCTGAACAAAATATGATCATGTGATTTTGTTCGGATTAAAATCTTCTGGATAATAGTATCATCATTTAAATTCATATGCCTGCTCTTCGTTCGTGTAGTACTTATACACAAAGTAATTTACAAGTATAGTATACGAATGTATGTGTGTGTGTGTGTGTGTGTGTGTGTGTTTGTGTGTGTGTGTGCGTGCGTGTGTTTATTACGTAAAATACATTCTAATTTCGGTGTTTCTATTCTCTCTTTCTCTCATTTGTTATAACAAAATAAATATTTATTTAATATATTTCAGCATACCGACATACAGCAAGCCAAATGTCACATTGTGAAAACATTTTTAAACGCATTGCAGCAGCGTACAATTAGTCTATCGCTAGTTCGCGATTAATTTAGTCGGGACAATTAAATTGTGTAACGATATATAGAATAGATACTGAAGCGGGATAAATAAAAAGAAACGTTTCTCAATAGAATAAGATCAAAATAACGATAATAATAAGCTTTCAAGAACACTTTTAACCTCACATTAAGACAATTAAGGCAAATAAGTTCAACGTTAAAATTCATACAGCTCTTTCGTGGTAAAAGACATCGTCGCGTAATAATGGCGCATGCATGACATAACGGAAAGACGTAACAAACGTGGTTAATTAGATTATGCGCGACAGGTCGCGACAGAACGTCTAGATATTAAATAACGCATACTTAAAATTCTTTCTTTAAAGCAGATTGTAATAACGCGTTACGCATCGACGTCACCAGCTTCTCCAGCTCCTCGACCTTCATCTTCAATATTTTGTTGTCCCTTTCCAGCTCGTTCGCTCTCCTGGTCATTTCCGATTCCTTAGCTTTCTTGTTCATCCGTGATCTTCGCGAAGCCTCATTGTTTTTCTCACGGCACTCCCTATATTGAGTGAGGACGACATCCTCCTCGGAATCGCTTTCTTCGTAATATCTTTTCCTCCCGTTCTTATCCTTCGTCTTTGTACTGGTGACAGCGACTTTCTCCCTCTCTTTGTTTTTAATGGTCGCTACCCTCGTTCTCTCCGATCTTCGAGACGATGCTACGGGAGACTTGGCCGTGGACGAGGTTATCGTCGATGTTGCGCGAGTCTCCATCCTTCGACGCGGCGAAGGTGGCGTCGGCGTCGGCGTTGGCGTCGGTGTCGGCGTCGGCGTCGGCGCCGGCGCCGATTCGTCGATCTTCTCCGTTTTTACTTTTGTGGAGGTAAATGATCGTACTGACGATGACGTTGTTGCGTGCGATCTAACTTTCATTATTGCCGAAGAATCGGTAGATATATTATTTTCCAGCGAACGTATTTCATCCTGTAATCAAAATCAATTTTATAATAAATCGTGAGTAGTTATAACGATTGGGCGATCAAATACTCTTCCGTTAAATATGCATGAAAAGAATGGTTTTGTTGAAATATACAAAATTACAAATTTAGCTAGGTACAGGTTTCAAAAGAATTTTGTCTGGACCATCAAAATAATTATGTAAGAAACTCAAATATGAGCAATGCTGAAAAAAATCTGACATTCTCGTTTGAACGTCCGCTATAATTATTTTGATAGTCTAATAAAATTATTTGTAGAACTGTGTACTTACTTAAATTTTTTATGAGGAAACTGATTACTAGAATATTACGTTTTGCAGCATTGCTGTCAACGTTTAAACGTTTTACATATTACATATAATTATTTTGATATTACAACAAAATTATTTTCAGATCTAGCTAAATTTTGAGATACTTTCAGCTAAACCGTTTTTCCTGTGCGCCAACGTACCTCCCAAAGATATGACAATAAGTCGAAAGTATCCGATCCAGTCGTCTCGATCGTGCGTAATTCATCCCATGTTTCGCGCTGATTTGCAACGGTGTTAAGTGACATCGAGCTAGCGTAATTCAAATCATGACTCTTGGATTGGAGTGGCGCGCTAACATCTGCATCATTCTGTTTGCTCGGCGAGGTGCTCTTAGAAGCTATAGATTTTGGTGACATTAACCACGAGCTGGATGTATTGTTCTCCTCATTATTATATTCTAATCCGTATTTGTTAACGAGTTCCGATGGAGATAGCAGACGGTTGTCATTTAATTCTTTAGTCGCCTTAACGGTATCCATCTTTAAATCCAACTTTTCATCAATCGTTTTCGGCAAATCCTTTAACAACTCTTCGTCTTTTACAATCGAAACGCCGTTACCCTCGTATTTCATATCTGGAACAAAGCGAATCCATACCGATGTTCTGCGTTGATTATATCGTTCCCGATGAATTAGGTAATGAAATTGCATGGAAGCCTAATGAAGTTATTTATATACAAATGTATACCTGATAGTTTAAACGTAGCCGATTCACCTATATGAAAATCGCATTGACCCTGGAACGTATCCATGCACCAACTGCTCAGATCCTGAAAGTCCTCTTCCCAGGCGGAAAGTACCACGGGGTCCTCTTCTTTCGTAAGATTTCCCTTTGTGTGCGGGAATATCCAGGACTGCTTCAAAAGCTCGGACTCCATCGTCGGGCTTAGGAGAGGAACTGTCTCCACCTTCATCGAGGTGGCATCTCCCAGTGGCCGCGATCTCACGCCACGAGTAACAGATAACGGAAGCTGCTGACGGTTGCATGATTTTGATACCTGAAACATTTGCATCAATATCCGATTGTCCAGGTCCAGGTCCAGGTTCAGAACGCGATGTTTCACTGTCCCGAATCTTTTTTCAGAATCGGAACAGTACTTACGTTAATAACACCTCCTTCCTCAATTGAAATGTTGCTGGTTGTTGGACGTTCGTAGATGGGAGGGATTTTGGAAGCCTAAAAAAGGTAATCGCATTAATTAATAAACACAATTTGATAGAATCCAATTAATAATAATAATAATAATAATAATAATAATAATAATAATACTAATAATAATACTGTAATATCAATAATAATATAAATATAAATATAAATACATCAATTTAATATTAATATTAATTGATAATTATATTGGAGTAATATTAATAAAATTAATATTAATAAATAATAAATAACAATCAATCAACTTGACATTGCATTAAAGTTTATTAGATATATAAGTAGATATATTTATTAGCCTTTTACTAAATTAATAAAATTCTTTAGTACAGATAATTAAATAGGTGGATTTAGTAAATAGTTGTTTTCCAGACGTTGCATTGACACATAATTCCAAGAAAGTTATAATGTTTGTACGTATAATCTGATAACTAATATTGGTCTACATTCATTCTAATTGCTGAGCAATATAAGCGAAATAGTAATTCATCATGATAATATCATATTATAAACCGAGAGATCCTATCTTATGGATTATTAGATTACATCTGTGGCGTATGTAAAACGTTCAATAAATTTTACATTCTTCCTTTCCCGTATTCATTTAGTGAATTTAAAGCTAGTTGTCTTTCAATAAAATATGGTGTCTATCTTGATTTCCGATATATTAGGTTGAGTAAAAAGTCATCGCGTATTTTTTAGCTCAAAGTTGTATATACAATATCTTCGTCAATAATGAATGAAATTCAAATTAAAAAAAAGGGTTTTAAAGCTTA